CTTCAATCCATGACTGTTTGTGGGACGCTGCTGTGTGCAGTTGGCTGCCGTGTTTCGCCCACAAAATATACAGTCAATTCACTTTACAGTATATTCTGTGAAGTGCTTTGAGACGTCGCGAAGATGGGACATGGTGCTATATCAAATGCAAAGATGATTATTATTATTATTCAAGGCGGGTTTCAAAACCTTTCTCTTCGACTAAGCATTCAGCAATCCTCCTACCCTGCCTGCCCTCCACCCACCCTGAACCCTACCACCAACTCGGGTCCAAATCCCTGACTGTCCAGCACCTTGGGTGTCCTGCTGACGTGAAAGTTGCTATATAAATGTAATTTTGTATTTGTGCTACACTTTACTATGTGCCATGTCTTAAATTACTCATATACTGTATTCCAAAAATATTATTTTCTAAAATAAATCTATTTATCTAGTGAATCGATACTTTCTGCTTTCACTGTCTCCCTAGAAAGTATGTTCTATGGATTTACCACTCACTCATTGAAGTAGTGTTTCCACAGATTAGCTTTGAACACCCTTGCCCTCTGGTTCTACTATTCTGAACATGATGAAATAGCTTGTCACAGACTACATTTTCATGTCCCTTTAGAATCCTAAAAACAGCAAGCATATCACCTCTCAACCTTCTCTTTTCCAGCGTGAACATGCCCAGTTTACTTAATCGCTCTTCCTGATCCAGTCTATCTCTCCCTTGAATAATTCTGGTCATCCTCCTCTATATCCTCTGAATTATTGCAATATAATTTTTGTACTGCGGCGACCAGAATTGTACACAGTATTCCAAGTACAGTCGCACCAATGATCTATAAAGTAGCAGGATTACCACACTATTTCGGCTCAATGTTGACCTTTTAATACATCCCAACATCTGGTTTGCAATCCTCACTGCCACTGAGCAGTATTGCGATAGCTTCAATTTAGGGCCCTTTATTTATATTATACGTGATTATTGTGTGTCAGCCCGACTCAGTTGCTCGTATTCCTGCCTCTAAGTCAGAAGGTTGTGCATCCAGGTCACATGTTGGGATGTGGAATTCATATAGTCCAGGCTGGCACTCCAGTGTAGTGCTGGGGGTGTGCCTCATTGTTGGAGGTGCTGTCCTTCAGACGAAATGTTAAACTGAGGTGCCATCTATCTATCCAGGTGGAAAACAACAGCAACAACAATAAGTCACATTTAGTTAGTGATATTCACATCGGAAAGACGTCCCAAGGGTGTTAAAGATCCCATGGAAAAGACAAGAGAGTTTCTTCTGGTGTCGGCCAACAATGCGCAAATGAAATTGGACCTTCCATTGGCTGTTTGTGGGACATTGTTGCATGAAAATTGGCTGCCTTGTTTACCTATAAAATTCAGTCATGACAATTTACAGGATATCCTGTGAAGCCCTTTGAGTCGTTCTCCTGATGTGAAAGGCGCTAAATCAAATATAAGGATTATTATTATATTGCAGAGCTGACAAACTTAGACCTGTGTGACTGTGGTTGTTGCTGCTTAGGTTGTAGCCAATGCTATGTGAATGAATTATTCACCCCTAGGCATGATGGCACATGACTTCATTATTCTGCTGAAAACCACAATGAATCATACAGAGCCAAATTAGTCTTATGACAATCATCCACATGGCAGTCAGACATCCATGCGTAAGCAACAATAATAGAAACTAATAACTGATTACACTGTAGTTTTCATGTATTAGCAACAGTATAACTGAACCTTTGAACTGACAACAAATGTTATAATGTATTGCTGAAACACTGTCAGGACTCCACGTGGAACCAAAAGGGTTGCATTGATATGGGAAAGAGAGATATTTGTGGCATAACATTTTAATAAAGAGGAAAAATAAGTATTTGTATTTTGTGGATGCACGTTCATGAGAGTCAGATTGTTACCTTAATCTTATTATACCTTAGTCCTCTTACCCAGACAATGCATAAACACTGTTAAACATCACTCCCCTGCTTCAGACGTCTCTCCCAAAGGATAGCACCTCCAACAATACTATGCTTCTCTTGCACTGCACTGAACTAGCAAGCTCAACTATAAGCTCAAACCTCAATAAGGTTAAAATTGCATCCTTCCCACCCTGTGATGAATCTGCTATCAGCTGATCCAAGCTGACACCTTACTTTGAGTCTAATTTATTGAAGTGCAAAGCGCATTGAGCTCGCTTAAATCTAGCCTTGAATACATCAATTGCCTTTAAAGCTGATTTGGCTGCTTTGAAAACCAGAAACAGCACAACTAAAGCAGACAAATTGCAATAAATCTATTGAACTACATTTCCATTTCTACCCTTGATTCTGGGTCCACCAATGTTCTGTCTACCTGCTGTCTGACATCAAGGCCTGGATGTACCTGGATTTCTTGCAAATAGAAAATCTGGAAGCCATCCTCCTTTCCCGACAACATCTCCTCACTTACGACTCTGGCTTCCTCAATATCCCTGGCCTCTCTCAAACGCACCAAACCTGTGTGTAACCTTGGCCTTTGGTTCAATACTCAGCTCTCCTTCCTTCCTCACATTTGGTCACTGAAAAAAAACACTTTTCTTCATCTTCAACACATTATCTGCCTTCATCACAAGCTACACAAAATGCCACAAAAACCTTCATTCGTATTTGTTACCTACCAATTCAAATTCTCTAATGCAACTCTTGCTTGTCTACCTGGTTTCACTGTGCACAAGCTGCAGCCCATACAAAACTCCACCACCTGCACCAAACTGCACACTTCAATCACCGCATTCCTTGTCAGGCTCCCCGATTTCAGAACCTTTGATGTCATCTATAAATCCCATCATGTCCTAGAACCTCCATCTAGCACCACCACTCATCTGTTCACCCCTCCCCCATTAGAGCATGCCATGCTTCTTCCCTCTCGGCATCAGTAGCTAAGCCTTCAGGAACTTTGCCCACAACCTCTGGAACTCCATCCCTCTACTCCTCTGCCGGCCCCTCTCTTTTATCTGTCTTTAAATGTTTATTTGGGACAGGTTTATGTAAACTATGCAACATGGAGCCAGGCAATTTGGCCCAACCAGTCCATAATGTATAATACCCATATAATATGTAACATCTATTATCACAAGATCAAAAGAGAGGTACAGTAGAAGGTACAATGAGGTTACACAATTACGCTGTTTCTTAAATGAGTCAAGTGTCCTGACTTCAACCAACCTTCTTGATTCTAAACCAACTTTCTAAACCATTCCAGTCATTAAATGGAATAAACAAAGAAGTACATCTTGGTGGCTGTCCTGAAATTTCCTCTGTGACTCAGCTGCCTGTATATTCACCTGCACTTGTCTACAACTAGCCTGCTCACTCGTCTTTACAAATCCCTTCATGCCCTGGCACCTCCGTACTTCTCCAACTTGCTTACTCCCCACACCACCACTGCCTCCGCTCAGCTAGCTCTGGCCTCCTGCTCATCACTCATGCCCTCCGTTTCACTATCGGCGATCGTGCTTTCAGCCAAAATCAGCCCAAAACTTTGGAACTCTCTTCCTCAATCCCTCCTCCTTGCCCTCTCCTTCCCCTTTTTCAGATCATGTCAGAAGACCTTCCTCTTCAACAGTACTTAGGAAAATCTCCTCCCTCCCCCTGACTCGGTGTCAGGCTCCTCCACTATTCCGCATGAAGGGCGCTATATAAATGCAAGTTGTTATTGAAAATGTTGTTGGGTTTATTTTCTCAGTCCCATTTAAAACCTTACACACTTCTATAAGGTACCCACTGAGATAACTCCGTTCTTGTTATTTTGAGAATCACATATTCTCTCATCTTCAAGAATAAGTAAAAATAGAAGTATCTACACATCACTTCCCTCAGAAAATAGTCTCTGGTCTTAGGAAAGATGTAGTTACTGAGCTTTGACTTCTGATATCCCTGACTCCTCTTCATAGGCAACGGTTAACCTGTTGGAACTTGGTAATAGAATTTACAGAAACTTTATTAAAATGCAAACAAACAAACAAGTGACGAAGGGTATAATAAAAAGTAATAAGAATAATCTTCACATTTGGCAGTGCCTTTCACTCCTGGACAGTGTCTGAGATGCTATTCCGTGTGAGGGCCTATGTAAATGCAAGTTGTTGTGGAATCCCGAGCGTGTTGGTTAGAGGACTCGACTCACAAGTGAGAAGATGCGGGTTTGTCTCCTGGGCAGGGCGAAACCTTAGGTAAGTTTCCTTACTCCACACGCCTGTTCACCTAGCAGTAAGGAGGAACCAATTTCAAGTTGATTGGCGGATCGCTTTTGCGGGTAACAATAATGAAACATTTTGTCACTCAACCCACAACTGTTTTGGGACACTCTGCTGGATGCAATTTGCTGCCGCGTTTCGCCCACAAAACAGTCAATCCGCTTCACAATATATCCTGCGAGGCGCTTTGAAACGTATCACTGCAATAACACTGCATGAAACGCACGGAATATTATTGCTGTGGTCCCGAAGCACTTCACAGGATACAGTCAGAATGTGGCGGCCAATTTGTGGACAACGCAATGCTCCCGCGAACAGCCATGGAGCCATTTTATTTGGGGGGGGGGGTTGTTGGCCAGGACATGGTGGGGGGGGGGGGGGGGGGGAGAAGAGAGACACAGAGAGAGAGAGAGAGAGAGCAAAAACTCCCTTAAATTCAACCCAGGGCATTGCAAGGTGGGGTTCAGCCTCCGAAGGGGGGGGGGGGGCTGTTTGCACGGTCCAGGCGGGGTGTGAGCTGCTCAAGGTCAGGGGGCAGCCCCTCTGCTGCAAACTGCCTGCCCTGCCCTCCCTGCCCTGCCTGCTACTGCCATCCCTCCTCCTCCTCCCTCCCTCCATCCCTCCCTCTCTTGTTTTGCATCGAGATCCGTGCAACCTGCAGCGTCGGGGTTAAAGTTGAGAGGGGTGTGTTCTCTTGGGTGTAGATTTTTTTCCGACACACCCCCCCCCCTCCTCCCCTCCCCCCTCCCTCCCTCCCCAACCCTCTGCTCCAGTCCAGCAACATGGCGGAGCCGCCTCCTGTGCAGTACCAGCCCCAGGTGCCGGTGCTCCTGTGCTTTGCCCAGTTCTCCCGGGCGGACAGTGTGCCCTCGGGCTCGGGCTATGAGCTGCTGATCCAGAAGTTCCTGTCGCTGTACTGGGACCTGATCGACGTGCGCAGAAAGTTCGCCGTCCAACTGTACTCCCGGGAGTGGAGCGACTACACCGACCTGCCCGAGGGCTTCGTGGTGCATGAGAAGTGCAGACTGCGCCTGGTGCCACTGCAAGTGCAGGTCAGAGCCCGGGGGGGGGGGTGGGGCATTGCAGCACAGGCAGGGTGGGGGGCATTGCAGCACAGGGTGGGGGGCATTGGAGCACAGGGTGGGGGGCATTGCAGCACAGGGGGTGCGGAGCATTGCAGCACAGGTGGGGGCATTGCAGCACAGGGTGGGGGGCATTGCAGCACAGGGTGCGGGGCATTGCAGCACAGGGGGTGTGGAGGCATTGCAGCACAGGGTGGGGGCATTGCAGCACAAAGGGTGGGGGGCATTGCAGCACAGGGTGGGGGGCATTGCAGCACAGGGTGGGGGGCATTGCAGCACAGGGGGGGGCATTGCAGCACAAGGGGTGGGGGGCATTGCAGCACAGGGGGTGTGGGGGCATTGTAGCACAAAGGTGGGGGCATTGCAGCACAGGGGGTGCGGGGCATTGCAGCACAGGGGGTGGGGGCATTGCAGCACAGGGGTGGGGGCATTGCAGCACAGGGGATGGGGGGATTACAGCACAGGAGGGGTAGCATTGCAACACAGGAGGTGGGGGGGCATTGCAGGACAGGAGGGGGTATCATTACAGCACGGAGAGCGGGCATTAAAACAACAACAACAACTTGCACCCTTTACTGGGCGAATCTTGAAGTGTTTAACAGTGGCGGAACCTGATGCCAGTATTACAGGACTGGGGAGCGGAGGGTGACAGTATTACAGGACTGGGGGGGGGGGGGACGGAGGGGGAGGTGAGTATTACAGGATGGGGTGCATTAGTATCAGATTGAGGAGATTATATTAAAGAATTGGTGGGAGGTCAGTATTTCTGGGTGGGAGGTTCAGTATTACAGAGCAACAGCATCGGTAAAAACATCTCCTGCACCGCACACAATGTACCTGTGACAGACGGGTTAGTGCACGGAAAAATCTGAATCTGCCTCTGCGTATGTGCGGGCTCAAGAAATTTCATTTGCAGTATTTGGGGGGGAGTCAGCCGAGTCTCTGGCACATGCTTTTAAGAGTATCCAAACCAAACTGAGGATTGAGATGGAACCACAGGGTTACGTTGGGAACATGGCTGTAAATGATGTGGTGTGTTTAAAGAAGATTATCCGAAGATAATTTGACTTTGATCAACAGGCTGCTGCACTTCCTACTTTACGGTGCAGTGAGAGAATGCTGCTAGCAATCCTTCGCTCAGCCGTTCTTGTTGCTGGATCCTCCTGTCTCTCTCTGTCTCTCTCTGCGGTGTTAGCTGATTGCAGTTGGATATCATTCACCAGTCATTCATTCATTCGGTGAAATTGTGGTTCACTACACAGCACTGAAATGGATCCAGCTCGTCTTGGCTGTATGCATTTTGATTTAGTCAAATCCAAAATGCACGTGCAGTACCAGCTACCCAACTAACAACCCTGTCAGTGTCACATTTTGTAATTTAAAAAAAAACTAGATGGAACAGGCTCTGGATGAGCAGAACAAATGTGGGCTATTGTCCTGTCCCAACTGATCACTGCTCCCTTAAACTTGACATTCCCTTCCCAGGGGGCCTGAACACAAAGAAAGATCCTGCTAATATGGAGGTAGTTTGTTACAGCTTAGCTCATTGACCATTTAATATAATGTACTAAAATTGCTGTTTATTTACATCCTTTGAGTACAGTGGGATTACTCACGGTGTCAAATTAGATTAACGTATAAATCTATTTTTCAGAATTCGTATTAAACCAAAGCACTTTAAGATTTTACACTTGCACGCCTGAACAACTATTTTTCTTTATGTTGTTAGCAGTAGAATCCATGTTTATACATAGAGCTTTCCTTGCAGATTGAACAGGGCAGTTTTGAGCCATGTGAAGTGCTTTGAGATGTCCTTTCGATGTGTATGTAAATTAGTTAAGACATAACTAGGGGATTAAGCAAAATACTTAAGTAAGTATACTTAAGTAAGTATTTTTTTATATAAGTATTTAAAATGTTTCAATGACTTGGATCAACAAGTTTAGTTCATGACGATTGCACATTGTACTGTAAGAAATTGGGCAAAAAAATTCAAGCTATGTTATTCTTGTACAATCCCAATGGCCTACAATCTCAACGTGGACAAGACTGCAGCTTCTTTCTTCTCCCGAGCTGCAGCATGTCTGCTGACCCAGTTTACAGGCTGCCCCAGTACAGTGACAGATGTGACTGATTCACTGCAACATCTGTCATGCCAGCTGATGTTGATGGAGCTAGAGATATTTATTGATGGACCACAGGACAGATGCTGTTGCAGGTTAAAGGCACAGTACACGGTTGAACACTATTTAAATGGGAAAAGGAACAAATTGTTCGATTTAGATATTTCTTTAAACTTTTTATAGTAGACTGCATTGCAATGCTAGCAGAGTGCTGCGTTGTCTAACGTGCCCGTAGATGAGATACTAAACCAACGTTCAGTCTGTCTGTTCGGGTGGATGTTAAAGTTCCCATCACACTTAATAGAAAAGAGAAGGGCATTTATCTTGGTCGTCAGTACTTCTCCAGATGAATTGGTGATTCACTTCACTCTGTTTGTGCACCTTGCTGTATGCAAATTGGCTGCAGCTTTTGCTTACAAGTGCTACACTTGACAGCAATTCACTGTGAAGCACTTTGTGATGGTTAGAAGTTTGCAGTTGCTGTATAAAAAACAAGCATTATTCATATTACTATAGCCTGTCTCTGATTTTTGGTCTACATGTTTTGAGACACATTTATTCTCATACTGTTGTTAGTTTGATACTTTTACTACGATTAAGACTGGGATGTAGTAGATCAGGGATGGCCACCTTGTGGGTGTGATATAGACACATGGGCCGCAGTCAAGCCATCCTGTATAGATGTATTTACATCTATATCAAGCTGGCATGAGTATTCCGTTTCAGTTTTTATTATTTTTACATTTTGTGTATTTTTCCAGCTGTTTAACAAATTAATTTAGGAGAAAAAAAGATTTGTGGATTCATGGGGAGAAATTCCACCTTACTTTATTTAGATAGCATTATAAAGTGTGCAGAATTCAGCAAATTCTTAAATACAAATTCTTAATTTTGAAGCTGTTTTTCAAGAAGTTTGCTTAAGAACGACTGAAAAAGATTTTAAAAAATAGGCTGAATTCAAAATTGTGAATTACTAAATTCCGAAAACTGTGATCAACTGTGTAAATGAAAGCTAGAATTTCTCTCCAATAGCATTTAACTCATTTTACAAGGACAACTACATCAGTCTTGCCAAAAACTCCTTTTGTCTTGTTATGTCCATTTAAGTTCATTCTTTTCCAAAGAAAGAAAGCTTACTGTCCTTAACTTTAACTCGCTCATTAAATTCTGGACACATGGAATAATCTCCACGAGTTTGTTCCTTTTAAGAGCAATAATATTCTTCCTAACATTAGGAGAACACAACTATACACAATAATCCACACAGATGGTATCCAAGCAACAATGTTGGGCTGCATCCTCTCTGTGAAAGTACTTTATTTGACTCATTTATTGCTCCTGGTTTTAATACTTCAAAAATTGCGGCATAAAAATGAATATTTAAACTTTATTAATACTCTTGAAAACCCTCAGGGCTAAAACCAGGTGGATTTTCAGGCCTATAAGGTTTAAAACATTTCTTCGCTATCTGCTGTCTTGTTCTCCTTAACACAAATAAATGGAAAGGCTTCTTGCAATATAATAATACTTTTGTTTGTTTTTTTCCACCCCCCCAGATGACTTCACTTGGAAACCTCATTCCTTCCAGCACTGTGTTTTTCTGTTGCGATATGCAAGAAAGGTTCAGGCCTGCCATCAAATACTTTGGTGATATCATAAGCGTAGGACAAAGGCTGGTGAGTTTCTTCAAATGTGTTGTGTGTGATTCAGAATTATAATTAACGGCTGCAGCAACACAGGAGAAAAAAAAAATCAACATTTGTTCAATATTTAATTAGAAACGGATGGTATCGTGTTGTTTCCCATTCTAAAATGAAGACATGTGCCATTGTGGCCAATAATATTCTGCCTTTGGTTCTCATAAAATCCATTGTGCTAGTTGTTATTCTGATGAATTATGATATTACAGTATTAATATAAATAATAGTAGGAATAATAATACATGATGGCAGAAGTATTAATATTCTTAAATTGCTCCCTTGTGTCTAACCTTGTGTGGAAGGAATATTTTAGTGGTTTAGCCTCAGACTGAAAGCATCCTCTTCAACCTACCTTCACTGATGCAGAGGATTTTGAAGTCGAGATCCTACAATTTCGCAACAAGGAACCTCATTTTCCTGACAGCTGTTTCTCCATGAATTTAATTGTCCTTGTAGGTATATTTGCTTCCCTGAATTTTTACAATGGCAAGTGCTAATCACCTACTCTTCAGTGTCAGGATCAGTGGTTAAAGGCTGACACTAGTTAATGCATTAATTTATGCATTGAGTTACTGTCTGTTACATCAGAATAAACAGTATATGTCTGAAGTAGTTCTGATGCATTTTTTCAATAAAATGGAAAGGCAATGATAAAAAAGGCTTTGCTTTATTTGGTTTATAATAATGATCAGATCAACAATTTAATTATTCTTTCAAATTAAATGCTGAGGCATAACTATATGATAACCAGTAGCAAATCTCAAAAGGCGTTTAGGAGGAGTTTCTTTATGCAGAGGGTGTTGAGAATGTGAAACTCAGAAGTTGTGGTTAAAGCTGAAAGCATCAATATATTTAACTTGCATGAAGGGGGAAGGGAACAGAGGGGATTGGGAGGTTTGGAGGCTCATGTGCAACATGAGATGTGACTCAGAGGCAAGAGTGTTACCACTGATCCAGGCTGACACATGTATGTAGCTGAATGTAGCTTGCAATAGAGCAAAGTTCCCACAGATCAGAAGGACATACCATAAACCCCTGGCTTACCAGACGCCGGGTATCTGGAATTCGAACCTAGCCAGATCCAAAAAAGAAAAATTTAAGAAAAAAATATTTGCGAACCTGCATGTAGACTCCTACAGACCACTCTGCTGGTGCATGCCCCTGCCTCATCGTGCTTCCTGACCAATTCAATTTGAATCCCGCAGGTATTCGGTATCTTCTGCTTGCGGGATTCAATTACAATGCTGGGAGGAGCAGCATTTACTGGCTTTTTTTGTTGCCGAAAGAAGCCGGTGCCAAAAGGAGCCAGTAACTGCCGGTTCCGGGATTGTAATTACACTTCGCCAGAAATTCCTGCTCACTGGACTGGAGCTCCCCATCCACACACGCATTGGTCTGGGTAGCTGGGGTTTTTGTGTACTTCCAAATCCTGAAAAAATTCTCCATTTGCAGAACACAGATTCCTTATTAAGGAAACCTGTTAAGAAATACCACAACAAAGAATGAGACAGATGATAGATATCCATCATTTGTCTCATTCTACTGCACATTTTGATCACTGCTTCACAGAGGTAGATCTGATTTCTCTTCAGCAGTACCTGATTTATATTACTGACCGGTATCATTGCAGTAGCCATATCTTTAATATGACTTTGATTTTACTTCCAGCTACAAGGTGCTCACATTTTGGGAATTCCCATTATTGTTACTGAACAGTATCCAAAAGGTCTTGGAAGTACTGTACAGGAAATTGATCTGACCACAGCCAAGCTTGTGCTCCATAAAACCAAATTTTCAATGGTTTTACCAGAAGTTGAAGCAACTTTAAGTGAAATCCCAGGAGTTCGAAGTGTGGTGTTGTTTGGAGTGGAGGTATGTAGAAGATACTCGGTTAGTGTTTTAGTCTTTTCTTTCACATTTGATTCTTTGTTGGATGTACTTTGCTGCCTAGGATTGCGAGTATGAATAAAAAGAAATGAAGATGGGTATATGAAGGAAAGAGGCTTGAAGGTGTATGCAGATAAGGCAGTGGGGTTGAATGGATCAAATCTAATCTATCTGTCCACTGCCAGGTTTGGCTGGATCACACTAAACTTTACAGCTCTGCCCTTGCCTCAGCCAAATCATCCTTTTATTCCAAGATCGTTCTGGAGTCCAATAACAACCCCAGGCTCCTCCTCCACCACAAACCAGCTAATTCGCCTACCTTCTCTTGCCCCACCCAATTTTTCCTCTATCTCCAAATGCGAGGAGATGTTGGACTTTTTTGTGTCCAAATCGAGAAAATCCATTCTGCTGCCTCTGACCTTTCTACTGACATCTCCTCTCCACCTTCTCTTCCTGAATCCACCCATCCCTCCTTCCATACTTTCAACCTTCTCCTGACTTCCCAGCTCCATCTCCTTGCCCTCTGCTAACTGACATTGTGAACCTCTCTTTGTCCACCAGAACACTTCCCATCCCCTTTAAAACCGCTGTCATCACCCCAATCTCAAAAAACCTTCCCTTGACCAATCTCTATTCCCTAATTGCCATCCCATCTACAACCTTACTTTTTCTCTGTAAAGTACTGGAATGAGTTATTTTCCAACTTTGCTTTTCCTACATTCCTTGTATGAACCCCTCCAAGCTGGATTCTGCTCTGCTCATGGTATAGAGACTTAAAAGTCATGAAAAAAAATTATTTCCATTCATGACCAAGGTTCTCTCCACCTCCTTATCTTCTTTTCGTTGCCACCTTTGCCACTGTTGACCATTCTATTCATCTCAATCGCTTTTCCTCTCTGCCCCACCTTCACGGTTCTGACTTTACATGGTTTCATTATTACCTTTCCCAGTATCTCCACTTTGTATCTGCCAACGGCTTCTCCTCTTGCCCCCGTATTGTCACTTTGGAGTTCCACTGGGCTCTATCCATGGTCTCTCCTCTTTAACATTTACATACTTGGTGACATCCACAAGCATCTGGTTAACTTCCACATGTATGCAGATGACACCCAATTCTATCCATCTGCCTCCACCCTAAATTCCAATTCAACTGCTGTACTTATTGATTGCCAGTCAGACTTTAAGTCCTGGATGAGAGCTAACTTTCTCTGTCTTCGTTGACATTCAATATCAACAAAACACAGGCTCTCCTGCTAGACTGCCGTCAGCACCTTTTTGTTTCTGGGGCTGATAGCATCACAATACATCACTGCACACTCCACCATACTAAGCCAATACAGAACCTTTGTGTCCTGTTTTATTCTCAATTGCCCTTTGAACATCTGTGTCTTGACCTGTTCAGCTTTTTCCCACCTTCACAACCTTTCCTGCCTTCCCCCACTAATTTTCCCTGTGGGCAGCTGAGATCTTTATGCATATTTTTATCACCTCTAGACTTGACTATGCTAACTATCTGCTCATCAGTCTTCCCAACTTCCCTCCACAAGCTGCAGACTATTCAAAATTATGCTGCTCATGTCCTCTTCTGCACCAGGCTCTGTAAGCTTATCAACCCATCCTCACCTGACCAAAGGATTGAGTTCAAGATCCTTGTCCTCACTTTTGAAGGTTGCCATGGTTTTTGGCCTTATCGTGACCTTATCGTTCTTGCCCGTTCCTGGGCCTCCTTCAAGGTCCATCTCAAGACCTTTTTTGACCACGCCTTTGGTCATCTTGCACCCTCACACACTCCTCCCTTGTCCCCCATTCCTCTTGTATGCAACCCCAAGCTTGAAAACCCTTGATTGTCCAGCTCCTTAGGACATCCTCCCAACATGAAAGTCAGTGTCTTGGGACGTCCTCCTGACGTGAAACTTTGAATGTAAGTTGTTGTTGTTGAAAGCTGCTTTGTAACCTTAATTTGCTGCTGTTTTTCTCGTATCTTTAGATGCAATGCTTCTTATGGCATAAAAGTCGTGCAAGCAAAAGTATCCTACTCCTTTTGAAGTCTTCATTGTCATCCTTATGGCATCTTGTAAACCCCTTGTCTTAGATTCATCATTTTTCACATTGTCCTAGCCTCAGAATTGGTCACTTTTCATCTCCAGGAGAGAAAGCAAAGCCTTGGGCTTTGCTTCCTGCTTTTTTTTGTTTATCTGTCCTGACTTTGGACAGATTGGATAGTGTTTTGGTTTGAAACTACATTTTGTCAGTCTTTTACTATCACTTGACATTTGTACCCAGACATATTATCATTGCTTTCGGGGGAAGGTCATCCTTCCCAAGGGAGAAGCCTTGGCTTCACATCGAGTGGCACATTGTAGTGGTGCTGGGGAAGGGTTGGGTGGGGGGTGCTAATTGACTGAATCAAAATCAACAGACGTTGATGGACCAACTCACAGGGCAAAACATCACGTAGAATAAGCAGAGTTTGAATATCATTTCTTTTGATTATAAGTGATGTGTGATGCTACCACACATGATTGAAGTTTTTTAGAGTTTTTTGAGGATATTTCTAGTGAACTAGATAAGGGTGAATCACTGGATGTGGTTTATTTGGACTTCCAGAAGGCATTTGATAAGGTGCCGCATAAAAGGTTAGTCCAAAAGTTAAGGGCCCATGAAACTGGGGGGAGCATATTAACGTGGACTGGGGAATGGTTAACGGGTAGGAAACAAAGAGTAGGGATAAACGGGTACTTTTCAGATTGGCGGGATGTGACTAGTGGAGTGCCACAAGGATCAGTCCTTGGGCCTCAGCTATTTACCATCTACATCAACGATCTTGATGAGGACATCGAAGTTAATATATCTAAATTCACGGATGACACAAAACTAGGAGGAAGTGTCAACACAGAAGACGACATTAAAAAAATGCAGCGCGATATAGATAGGTTAGGTGATTGGGCAGGTAGGTGGCAGATGAAGTATAACATAGGGAAGTGCGAAGTCATCCACCTAGGTAGCAAAGACAGTAGAGAGGTTTATTTTTTAGAAGGGGAGAGATTGGAATGTGTTAGTGTCCAGAGGGACTTGGGTGTCCTTGTACACCAATCACAGTAAGTTAGTCTGCAGGTGCAATTAGGAAGGCGAACAGTATATTAGCATTCATTATGAAAGGATTAGAGTATAAGAGTAGGGAAGTCTTGCTGCAACTATATAGGGCCCTGGTGAGACCACACCTGGAATACTGTGTGCAGTTTTGGTCTCCTCATTTAAGGAAGGATGTACTTGCCTTGGAGGGGGTGCAGCGTAGATTTACTAGGTTAGGAGCCGGGATGAAGGGGATGAGTTACGAGGATAGGCTGACCAATTTGGGCCTATATTCTCTAGAATATAGAAGAATTAGAGGGGATCTTATAGAAGCCTATAAGATCATCAAAGGGCATGATAGAGTAGATAGTGGGAGATTGTTTCCCCTGGTTGAGAAACTAAAACCAGGGGTCACAACCTTAAAATCAGAGGCCAGCCCTTTCGCACTGAGTTGAGGAAGAACTTCTTCACTCAAAGGGTGGTGAATGTATGGAACTCACTACCCCACAGGGCTGTTGACGCTCAGTCCTTGAACATATTCAAGACTGAGATAGATAGATTTCTTATTGCAAAAGGGATTAAGGGATATGGGGATAAGGCAGGGTCAGGTTATTAGCTGGAGTTAGATTAGAAGATCAGCCATGATTGAATGGCGGGGCAGACTCGAAGGGCCGAATGGCCTACTCCTGCTCCTACATGTTATGTTATGAAGGGCACTGTGTACCTGCAGGTTTTTGCTGATTCTTGCTTACCATTTGTTTCGGATAGACTCACGTCTGCATTCAACAGACGGCACTGGATTTGATTGGAAGAGGTTTTGAAGTTCATATTGTAGCTGATGCAACATCTTCAAGAAGCATGATGGACAGAATGTTTGCACTAGAGGTAAGGCTTTCCTTTGAACAGAAGAACATAAGAATTTGCTAGGTGAAAGAAGACTGAGGTCCATCCAGATCGCTTTCCACCATCCTGATGGTTGCATGCATATGTCATGTCCCAAACTATATACTGTATCCTGAAATATTATTTCCTGATAGCAAAGTTGTTGATATTTGTTGATAGCAAAGCGTCAAATGAACATTTTTAAAAGAAGGAGCACAGGTTTCAGAACCACTTTTACAATCAAAGCACTGAAAACCCCTTCTGATCAACATTACTCGAAACATTAACACCTTTTTAAGTTTATTCTGTTCGTTTCCTCTTAATAGTGTCTGACAGATCATTTTGTCTTAAAATGTAATATCAAGCAGGATTGTGGAATATTATTGAATTCAGTTACAATTTGGAAGCTGGTTCCTTTAACGAACTGCAGAAAAGTTAAGTCTGGAAATAATAATTTTGCACAATAATTTTCACACTCTTGAAGTTTAGGACAAAATGGTTTTAATGGGCAAGTATCACACCCCAGCAGCTTGAGAAAACAACAAACCGAAGCGGTGAGGGATCAAATATGGGAGAATAAGAAACATAAGCAAAAACAATACAGATCTCTGAATACTTTCTTTTAAAAACTGCCCCTGTTCAGGATTGTAAAATGGGATAATGTTCTGCTCTACTCAGTCACCAGTCAATCATTGCGTTGATTAATATTGCAAAATAGTATGTTTATTTCAATAGTTTGCCACATTGTTGTCTTGCTTTTCTATGACTGTGTAGCTTTGGAATATTAAATATAAAATATTGGTCTTTTAGGAAGTGACGTGAGAATTGTGTTCCAGTGAAATTGTTTCCTACTAGTGATGGTGAAATATCTTCATATTAATATTTAAAGAGGCAGAAAGGCAGAGAGCAAGAAAAGAAAGGAATGTGTTGCCTTTGCTGACACTTAACAATGAGCCTGCTGTATGCTACTAGTGCCAGTGAAATATGTTCATATTAATATTTATGGAGGCAAAAAGGCAGAGAGCAAGAAACTAGCTTGAAATAACGGATTGTTTAAAGAATATAGAAATGTTAAAAATAACACCTTGCTGAATATTTCTCATAATTCTTGATTTTAAAAGTGTTCTTAAGTTTGAGGCTCCTGCTTCAAACTTTTAATTTGGTTTAATTTAAATCCAGCCTCCTTTGCGACATTTGTTAAAACTAGAATGGTTCTGTCAACTGCAATCTCCTGCTTGCGAAGTTTGGGGCTGTTAAATCGCTTAAATTTTGCTAACTTGGTTGCAATTAATACAACATATATGGTTTGCAAACCTCACAAACTACACCCCTTTTTAAGTTTCTGTCCTCCTTTAATTCAAATCTTTGCTGAGTTTGGTAAATGAGCCAGGGTTCCTGCTCTTGGTGGCTATACAACATCAGACTGGTAGAGTGTGTGTGTGGCAGCTGGGTCGGGGGAGTTCAGCCACGGCCGTAACTACCTCTACAGTTGAGTGCTGCAGACACTTACCACCAAGGCGTGAACAAGAGCCATTTGGGCAGGGTATCGGAGGGAAACCAGCGCCTGTGGCAACTCACCTGAGCAAGAGGAGGCCAAACCCAGAGTCGAGAAAAATTAAAGAGCAAATGGGGAGAAAATGAGTGAAAAAATTAATTGGGACGTGCTAAACTTAGGTTGTCTATGCTCGATATAGCCTGTTTAAAAGGAGCTGGCTAAGTTGACGCTGTTGTTCTATTCTTTCACAGCGTCTAGCCCGGACGGGCATCACTGTCACCACCAGCGAAGCTATCCTCTTGCAGCTGGTAGCAGACAAGGAACATCCCAAGTTTAAGGAAATTCAAAACATCATCAAAGCAAGTGCTCCAGAGTCGGGCCTGCTTTCCAAAATCTAACTGGTTACATCCTCACTTCTTAACCTCACCCCACCACCCTTGAGAAACAAGATTATGTTACATTTACGACCAGCAACAAAGCCCTGTGAACCAACTGCTCGGATCCTGTCAATAGCAGAAGACCATCAACGTCTGAGTATACCTATTGTCTTTGTAATCGTGGGTGCTGTCTGTGTGTTGCAGGCTCTGAATACTGTAGCTATTGTGTGTTGTGGAGCAATGTCTTTTTTTGGAGCGGTTAAAAGGCACCTATTTATTTGAAGTAGGAACCAACTGATTGTAAATCGCAGTAGATTGTAGTTTTAACGATGTGGGTACTTTGTGAGCGTAACTACATTTTGTCCTATTCAATCATTTTTGTAAACTGCTATGGTCAATTAAAATGATTTAAAATGTGTGTGTGTAGATTTTATATATATATATATATGTATTTTATTGTGCACTTTTTAGATTATAGTTGGTTTTGTTGGGGGTGGGGAGGGTACAGTGGTAATAAGAGCAGCTCACTTTCGCCCAATTGGTCTCATTCTTCCTGAATGAACATTTGCTGAATTTGCCTCCAAAGTACAAAGGCGCTGCACTTTACAGTAAATCCAGTAAAAAAAGTGTTCTCCTGATGTGAAAGGCGCAATAACAAATACAAGGATTATTTTGTAATATTGACAGATGAGTAATTTCAAAGTACCTGTGTTTTGCCTCCAGAGGGCAATAGAGCACATGTATAACTGGATGTGTGGGCAGAAATTGCGAAAGCGAAAGGTCTATGTTTTATCATTGTTGTTCAATGTTGTTCATCAAGCCAGCAAACTTGCCTTTTACTACATTATACATTTGTTGTGAACTGCTGAATATTAATACAATATCATAAGATATGGATTTTAATGTATAAACGCATTAATTCAGCTTTTACACCATTGGGCTGGGACATTCCACATATTAACATTCACTGAAAATATTTTTTCACAAGAAGTCACTGAATAATGTTAAATATGACCACAGTTATTTGTAATTGTTTTGAATTTGGGACCAAATGCCAGGGAAGTTCTTTTTTGTGGCCAGGGCAACGTTCCTTTCCCCTTGTAGTAAGAAAAAGTTCGCTTTATGGCTTTTTTTAAATTTAGAAATGCACAGTAACTACATTGCAGAAAACCATGTGAAGGACTTTGAGGTGATTGAAAGTAATAAGGTGCTATATTAAATGGAAGGATTATTATTATGAGACTAATATGGAGGATTGTTTATACATCTCTGTATTGGTAACTTGTTTGAAACGTGTTATTTTCTCTCCGAGTGCCATTTGACAGCTGAGTGCAATCTTCTGCAGTATAGAATCTGCTCCAAATAATCTCACCAGGGAATAGTGTTGGAAACCATCAAAGAGCAAAGCTAAATATTATAAAGAAATATCTCACCACTTCTATAAGAATAAATCACTCAGGTGCTTGAACATTAACTCATTTAACAATAACAGAGGCTCACAAGAAACAAAAATGATACTACAAAGACATTTATCCTGAAAAGTGTTCACTGGATCGGCTCAGTAACACTATTGTGCAATAATGACTCCTCAGTTAACCAATGCATATTTCTGCTAGTCCACCTAATGAATATCCACATCCATCTGTTTATGGAATGTTAGATATGAGCTCTGACTGGAATTAGCTGATAACAGCTATGTGAAAGTTTGGGTTGTGACTACTGTTATTTTCTTCTTCAGGACAGACCTGAATTGATAAGAAATGTACATTTCTTGACTATATTCATTCTGTGTTGTGCTGGAACATGGCTGTTTGTGGGACATTGCTGTGTGCAATGGGCTGTCACATTTGCCAATAAATGTAGTCTCTCCATAGTAAATCATATAAAGCATTTTGAGATGTCCTCCTGAAATGAAAGGGGCTGTACCAAGTGCAAGCATTATTATTATTACAGAGCATTGTACACCTGGAGGGTTACAGAGTCACTGTCTTAAAGGGCAGGAGCTTGACTGTACCTGGTGTCAGCTGATGAGATTGTTTGCTGAGGAGAGGAGGAAGGTTGCATACATAGCTGCTTACGTGCGAGGAGTCAAATCAGTAAACGTTATTCATCACACATCTTTTATTCCTATCTCTCTCACCGTCTCCACTTTGTTGCCTCTTAATGGTTTCTCCTCCATCCCCCGTCTGGCGTCCCTCAGGGCTCTGTCCTTGGCCCTCTCCTCTTTAATATCTACATGCTCCCCCTTGGTGACATCATCCGCAGACATGGGGTTAACTTTCATATGTACGTGGATGACACCCAACTCTCTTTCTGCCTCCATTCTCAACTCCAGGACCACTGCTGTCCTGACAGACTACCTGTCAGACATCAAGTCCTGGATGAGGGCAAACTTCCTACTATTGAATGTGAACAAGACTGAGGCCCTCCTGATTGGCTCACGTCAGTGCCTCTGCACCTCAGGCTCTGCTAGTATCAACCTCCATGGTTGCACACTTCAACTCACCAAACCAGTCAGGAACCTAGGGTGTCTTGTTCGACCCTCAACTGTCGTTTCTTCCCCACATCCAAGCCATGACCCGCTCTGCCTTCCCTCACCTCCGTAACATCGCCCGACTCCGCCACTACCTCACCCCTCAGGCTGGTGAAACTCTTGTCAATGCCTTCACCTCCAGGCTCGACTATGCAAACGCCCTGCTTGTCGGCCTTCCCAACTCCTCCCTCCACAGACTGCAGATAATCCAGAACTCTGCAGCCCGTGTCCTCTTCCGCACCAAACTCTGTGACCCCTTCTCACCCGACTCCATTGGCTCCCTATCCTTCAGAGGATCCAGTTCAAAATCCTGGTCCTCACCTACAAAGCCCTCAATGGTCTCTCCCCACCCTATCTCTGGGACCTCCTAACCCCCTACCAACCCACCCGCTCCCTCCGCTCAGCCTGCTTCGGCCTGCTCCATGTCCCCTGACCCACCCGCCCCACCATTGGCAGGAGAGCCTTCAGCCACTCTGCCCCCAACCTCTGGAATTCCATCCCCCAATCACTCCACCTCGCCCCCTCCTTAGCCTCCTTCAAGTCCCACCTCAAGACCCTCCTCTTCGACCATGCCACCGGTCACCCCCCTTCCCCTCCCCTTTCTTCTGCCCCCTGACCCCAGCTCGGTTCTGAAATGCTGTACACTGTCCAGCGCCTTGGGACGTCCTCCCGACATGAAAGGTGCTATACAAATGTAATCTTGTTGTTGTTATGTGCTTGCATACAACAGGTATTAGACTGACACCAATGTGTTCACCAGAAGATGCTGCAGATACAGAGATAATTTCACATACTTTTGTTCAAGTAAAGTTAAACCTATTTGTTCCTGTGATTCAATCACACTGCTCATTAGTCTCCCCAGCTCCACCATTCACTAGCTATACCTCATCCAAAACACCGCCGCCTGCATCCTCATCAGCATCAAACTCTGTGGACCCATCACCTCAGTCCTTGTCAATCCCCACTGTTTCCTTGTCTCCCAAGGGATCAATTGCAAGTTCCTTGTCTAAAAATTTGTGCATTCCCTGGTAGGCCCTTATCTCTCTGATCTCCTACCTTCCTCCTCTGCATGCCCCTTCCACTCAGCTAACTCGGGCTTGCTGTACATCCCCGCCTTCTCCGCGTCACCATCAGTGGCTGAGCTATCAGTTCCTATGACCCTAACCTTTGGAACTCCTTCCCAAAACCCCTCTGTCTGAATCCTCTCTGTCTTGAAATCTGTGTTCAATCGTACCTCTTTGAACGCATGTATATCTATCTCCCTTCCCCTCTCCCACCCTGGCCTCTCTCCCTTGCTCATTGTTGAACCCCGACCCTATGAAACTCTCCAAGATGTCACCCTATGCGAAGGGTGCTGTATAAATGCATGTTGTTGTTAATAATGGTATTTTAAAAATAACAGATTTTTAAAAAAATAATGGTGCATATGCAATATCACTGCAATGCAAACTGTTTGTGTTATAAAGTTAGGAACATAGGAACAGTGGGAGGCCATTCAGTTCATTGAGCCCTATCCGACTTTTTATTAGATCACAGCAGATCTTTTAATCCCATTTCTCCTCCTTTCTCCAAATCCCTTAATACCTGTTTTTCCCAAGTATCTATGTCCATTATAAACATTCCGATCGGTTCCTCATTTAAAGCCCTACGGGGCAATGAATTCCACATTCTTACAACTCTTTGTATGAAGAAATATTTTCTGATCTTGCTTATGACCAATTTAGCTCCAATATTCAGACTACATTCCTTGTATTTTGGATCAGTTAGGGGAATCATTGTATTTGCGAGCTCAAGGGAATGAGAATGATCACAACAAGCTCTTTCTACTATGTTTAATCCTATATTATCCTTGGCATAATTGGCATCACATGTACTGGAATGTACAGTGCAGATATTCTGAAATTTTAAGCAGTTAGGATTGTGGTCTTTTTTTGCCAGGACATTGCGAGCATCTGGTTATGAACTCTCTCAGACATTCTCGGAAACATTAAAGTTTAGTATAATCTTTATAGGCTGTGCATTGTGGCTGTGCCAAGCTGTAAAAACGTGTGTCGCACAGTGAAGTTCTCTGGGTTGGTAGATCTGAGATTTCAATCTATTCTACAGTACTGTCTTGGAGTGAATCCCTTTCTATTCTTGGATGAAGGTGTTAATCTGGCTCTGTCTTAATACAATAGTCTGAATATATTTGCAATTACTTGTCACCTGTTTGTGATTCAGGAATGTTTTTATGGTATATAAATCATCATCATCAAGGTGGAAATGGAGACATAAGCAGACACCTGCAGACCTCCTAGGAGGCAAGGCACCTATCTACATTTGCTGGTGATATCAAATTATTAGGATAATTGCAAATTGCGGAGAAATGCAGAGGAATACAGGAGAAAATAAATAAGTTTGGAAAGTGGGCAGATAAGGTGAAATTAAATTCAATGCAGAAAAATGCAAAGTACTGACGGATATTGCTTTTTGGGATGAATGACAAAGAAATACTGTATATATCCTAAATGGCCATAATCTTAATGGAGTGGATGAGCAGAGAGTACTATGAATACAGATACATTGGTTTATAGAAGAGGGAGATGTGCAAATGGCCATAAAAAAGATATTGGAATCCTGGGTTTGTGTATTGGAGCTTTGAATGTAAAAGCAAAGGAGGCAATAATAATACTAATCCCTGCATTTGATATAGCATCTTATCATGTCATTGAGGTACCTCAAAGCGCTTCAAGGATATATTGTAAAGTGGATTGACTATTTTGTGGGCAAAAAGGTAGGGTAATGTTGGATTTGTGTAAGACACTGGAATATTATGCTTATTTTGGGAAAATCATTATGAAAAGAATATTACAGCCTTGGGGAGGTTTGGCTGCTGATGGGGAGAT